GAGAGAGAGAGAGAGAGAGAGAGAGAGAGAGAGAGAGAGAGAGACAGACAGACAGAGAGGCGGGAGGCGTTTGCGTGATAGGGGTGAGAGCAAGAAAGGGAGATTTATGTTGCCATTCTTTTGATGCACTGTCCAAGGCCGCGTAGCGCCGGCCCTGTTGGTAGCACTGCTCTATCCCCATTGGCCGGCGTGCGCGCTGCTGCTCACGGGGCTGGTTTCGTGTTGAGGCCAACCGGGTCGTTTTCCTTTTACGGGGCGTTACCCGAGTCCGCTGCTCGCGACGACGGGCGAAAAATATAAGCAGATCTCGTTCTGACGACGACTGTTATTGGCACCCCTGGCTGGGCGGCCGCAGCTGCGCGCGCAGGGTTTGCCAACCTGTGCCGAGCGCGCGCGGTTTGAAAAGGCGCTGGTGCGCCACAGAGTGCTTCGCACGACGCGCGAAAACCGCACACTCGCCTATGCAACGCGATTAATAGTAATAATAACGCAAGCTTTTACGGCCCCGCGCCGCAGCGATGGTATGAAAAATTGCGCGGTGCAGCGTCGGTATGAAAAACTGAGCGCGGAGCGGTGGGAGAAGTGCGTTCCAGGCGATATCTCGCGCTGATCAAGGACGCCGTGTGCTCGGCCGGCGGCGGCAGCGGCGCGGGCGGGTGTACAGTTGTTGTGTTGTTGTCTGCGCCGCGTCCGTTTTTGCTGTCCCTATATACCCCCTCTCACGAGGAAAGGGATGGCGGAGGGCAAGGAGAAAAAAAGTAACGGAATGAAAGCGCTATGCCTCTGCCGCGCGTTTGAATCTCTCGCGCGAAGTCTCAAAGGGGAAAAGTGGGAATACCTTAGCCCTGTGCAAAATCGATTTTTATGACTTTACAATATTGTAAATTCATAATATATAACATTGTGACTATAACGATACGTATCACGAGTTTTGCATCGTAACTTAACAATGGTCAATCTTGCTTGTCGACGCTAATTTCCTTGCAAAATTTCGCAGGAAAGAGTGTCCGCAAAAGCCACGCACATTTTTCTTAGTGAATTTGCCATTGTCCTGCGCACACCTAGAAAATTTTGAGGAAAAGCCCATTCTTAGCACTAGAACTGGGCCTTAGCACACTCTCAAATTTACCTTATAGCAACGTAAATTCAGTTCGATAAGTAGATGTTGCACGCTTCAATCTTCACGCTTCACCTTTCTCGCGCCAAGAACACGTTTGCGCACGTTTCTTTTGGTATACTCTAAATAAATGTACCACTGATTTTGACAGATAGATCGGTGCACTATATTTTGATTTCTTTGCTGCCGGTCCGAGCCCGCTCGATCGACAATCATATAGGCCTAGGAGCAGGGCACAAAACCACTGCAACTCCTCTCCTTTGACCCAACCTCTCATGACTGTTCTACCCCGCCCACGACTTTTTCTTGAAAGGCCCTCTCCTGCCCCATCTGCCCCCACCCCTCTTGCACACGGAAACGAAGCGATTTGCCGCCAGCCGTTGCCTCTTCCCCTTATCTCCCTCGCTTCCTCCTTTGCACCTCGCCCTGCCCCCGCCCACCCCTGCTCTCTGACTGGCCCGATGACCCCAGGCAGATGATGCTCTCAGATGCCCCGCCCAGATGGCTCCTTTATCCTTTTTCTGCCTTTTACCCTCCTTTTTCTTTTTTTCCCCTCCGCGTCGGACCGCCGCGGTGGCTGTCATTTCCGATCACGATCGCGCCAGGGATCGCGCCGAATCTGCAGGCCGAGATCGTGGAGATCGCTGCGAGGCACGACACGGCGCCCAGGGATTGGGCAAGTGGATTGGGGGCCTAAGAGCTCTGACTTGCCAATCATCCACCCAGACCGACCCAGACTGCCATCTGACCGAGGGGGAAACGACTGTTAAACTTCGTGTCAGCCGGATTACGGATTACCCGGATTACCTCCGAGGTGTCCTCCGGATTACGTTGCTTTTTCTCTAGGATTACCCCGGATTACCCCAAAATTTTTCCGGATTACCCCAAAATTTCCCCGGATTACCCCGGATTTTTTAGAATTTTCTCGGATTACCCCTTCCGGATTACCTGACGGCTGTCAGCCGGATTACCTCGTCGTCGTTTCCCCCTCGCATCTGACCATCTGACATCCCCTCAAGATCAGCTCTCGCACCGCCTTTTTTTTAAAAAAAAGAAAAATATGTTTGGATTTTCAGAGGATTAAAAATGTAAATATAGCCCTCGACTTAAAATCTGCGCGTCTTCCGAAGTACAGTGCAAAAACAATCATTTCTTTTAAATATAAAAAGAAAAATGCATGTACTTGGGGGAAGCTACCGTATGACGTATGACTTTTAAAGAGATTTTAAATTTCCAGGTCTGTGCAAAAGCACTGGTAGATAGGCTATATTCTTCTAGCTTTGTGTTTTCAGTAAAAATTTGCAAAATAACAGAAACAACATTTTTTTTGAGCACGTAATCTACGATGCGCTGAACTTTTCCCTTAGTCAGTCGACCTGCCCTCCTGCGCGCATTAGGTCTAAATGCGACCTCTGATTGTCTCGAAGCGTTGCGAGTCTGCTCCCTCACCTCGGTGGCCGGTCGTGAGTGGCGCTCTATCTATTGGCGGCTCGGATCAGTGCCGGAGCGGGGCGGGGGGCGGGGCGTTGCGGGGCGGGGCGGAGCGGGGCGTGGCGAAGGGCGAGCGCCCCACGAGGCAATAAGGATGTTAAGTGACCGGTGTGGTGCCCGGGATGACGTCCGAGGTGAGTGAATAACGAGCGCAACGAGAAGGGGAGCGCTTCCGCACTCAAATAAATACGCCCCTTTTCGAACGACACCCACCTCTGGACGAAATAAAAATTATCAAAAAAATAAGCCAAAGAGAAAAAAAATGCACACACAACAACCACAAATAATAATAATTAAAAAGAAGCAGCGCGCAAATTTTCCTCTCCCCCTCTCT